GCTGAGCAGGGAGCCCGATGCGGGGCTCGATCCCAGGACCCTGGGATCATGACCTGAGCCGAAGGCAGACGCTTAACGACTGAGCCACACGGGCGCCCTGAGAGGTCCCTGTCTCTTAAGCCAATTCCATTGGAGCTTATTATCAAAGTATTGAGAGGTCTGGCTTTGAATTGTTAGTGTTACCTTCAAAGAAGGATATTCCCAGTTGAAGTCAATCCCCACATTTAGTTCAGTCCTTGCTGTACAATTTAAGACAAGCCTCTCTCCAACAGACAGCTCAACTTCGAGAGGGGGGCTGACAACCACATCGTAAATCTTGTACCCTGGAGCAAGTAAATTGAAAACACAGAGAAAGAGAGAGAAAACAAATCTATAACTTAGCATGGATTTTTTCGAAAATGATGCAATTTCAAAATGTGACACATCATTTTTCCCTGAGGGCCTCACCAATACTTGGAACCTTCCCACAAAATGGCCTACAAAGACTTACAAAGCAAACCTGCAGGAATCTCAAAGATGTAGCCCAGTGGATAGAAAAGCAGTAAAATTTGAATAGTCAATAGCCAGCGAAGCCAGCCTTAGTAAATTACTGAACTTTCCATAAAATAGGTATAATTAAAAGAACTGATGCCAAGCAATGTTCTGAACATTGAACTTTCCATAAAATATGCTCTGATAATAACACTCTTTTCCGTCCTTGGTTTTGGCAAGAAAAGAGAAAAACTGAATTGCACGTAGGTTTATTTGGTAGAGAAGAGCAGACGTAATGAATTGCCCCACACCAGATCTTGAGTGAATATATTTTTCAATATCCTTTGTCCTTCCCCCAGTACCTTAATCTCCAGGATCGTAATATAGGAAACCAATCTTTAGTGTCTGATTTAATGATAAGGAAACTGCCCACTTACCTACAACCACAACTATGTACAAAATAGACTGGTAACTTTCATCATTAATTTTTGCTTCACAGAAGACCATGCCAGCATAGCTGATCATGTAGCTGGGGATAGTGAAGCCTTTCTTACTGTCCCAGGAAATTCTGTTACCATCAGGAACAAACCTCTTTTCTGGATACCTCTGGGTAGAAAAAGAAACATCAAATATTGAATAAAGTGCTATCCAAAAGCGAAAACCATGTAAAATGATCACTAAAGAATTTATCACTAAAGAATATAAACTGGTTTTATTTGTTGTCATTTTGACCCTTCCCTGAGGATCTTTAAAACACGTGGTTGATAATATATTACATACAGGCTACCCATCTTAACATTATGAAAACACGAGAGATGATTGAAAAAGATGTAACTTACTGCACAAAGTGACACATTGAGGTTGGAAACGGATCCAAGACATGGAATCACCACAGTTTTGTTTTTCTTCTCAGTGATGTACACAACTTCATGTTGGTCACTAACAGAAGCAATAAATGGAGATCTGTAATCTAGGAGAAAAATTAATTCCCTTAGTTAATGGCATTTACTAGAAAAGTTGATCTTGGGCGCCTGGGTGGCTCAGTTGGTTGAGCGACTGCCTTCGGCTCAGGTCGTGATCCTGGAGTCCCGGGATCGAGTCCCACATCGGGCTCCCTGCTCGGCAAGGAGCCTGCTTCTCCCTCTGACCCTCCCCCCTCTCATGTGCTCTCTCTCTCTCTCATTCTCTCTCTGTCAAATAATAAATAAAATCTTTTAAAAAAAAAGAAAAGTTGATCTTGTTTCCAGTTCATAAACTCTAACCAGAGAAGCAAATGATTGAGAATGACATTTCACACCAGGCAAAGGGATCCACAGGTTGGTCTGCTGGTAGATATCTGACTCCAAAGATATGCTGCAGAAAGAGTGTGTGTGTGTGTGTGTGTGTGTGTAAAAACCTGAAAGAAAATTCCTAGAGTGAAATCGACTCCTTTCACTAGGATCATCAACAAGTAGAGTATATTTTATAGGTTCCACATTTAAACAGATGGATCATTATAATTTTTTTCAAAATGAAGGAGCATACTTCATTTTTCATATACACTTTCATATACACATATACATTCTTCATAGATACTAAGTACTTTTCAAGTACATAAATTTTAAAATAATTTTTTTATTGTAAATTAATTTTAAAGTTAAATCTGTATTTTACCTACTGAATTTTATTGATGCTTAAAAAAAGTATATTCTCCCTTTAGGCAAATAATGTCCAAGGGCCATGAAAATAAACTAATGGATTCCAAAGGATCTTTAAAATAAGCCGAAAATAACAACTTTTTGATTTAATTATTCAAGAGGAAAATTGACGTGGGTATTTTAAGATTGTGAACACTAGATATGAGATTCTTTATAAAATAATGTTCAGTGGTTATTGAGTTCAGTTTAAAATTCAGCAATCATTAATAGCTTCAATGATGAAAACTCAAAAAACCACCATGGCAAAAAGTGAGAAGAACAAAAAAGAGATTTTAATGTCATTCTAACATTGTTCCTACAATGTGAATACACCACTGGGAAAAGAGTCTACTCCCCGGAGATACAGTCACCATAGTGTGAGGTTGTATTGAAATCTTACAGAGATAATGGCTCAGACTGCTATGCCCAACACACCTGATCCAGCGTTTCCAGAGCTCTTCAGGATGGCTGGTCCAAGTGAAGAAAGAGTTAATTAAACCAAGGGGAGAAAGGCAGATAATTCCCTGCAACAGCAGAAGTTTGATTTCCTTCCCAGCTGGAAAGCACAGAAAGGCAGCCAATCCAGCCCACCACATGCCATAGCCATTATCTTATGAGGCCAAGACCCACTTCCTGGCTCCATCCATTGCTGGAGGGAATGGGGTCAGAAGCCTAAGGAAGCAAGGTAGGGACCAGAGGGGACATTAAAGGGCCGCCTATAGGGAATACGTCAGTGCTTTCTTTCTCAGTGTCAAAATCTTAGACAGCTCTGGTGCCTGGGTGGCTCAGTCGTTGAGCGTCTGCCTTCGGCTCAGGTCATGATCTCAGGGTCCTGGGATTGAGTCCCACATTGGGCTCCCTGCTCAGCAAGAAGCCTGCTTCTCCCTCTCCCATTCCCCCTGCTTGTGTTCCTGCTCTCGCTATCTCTCTCTCTGTCAAATAAATAAATAAAATCTTAAAAAAAAAAAAATCTTAGACAGCTCACCTCCTAGAACATTAGGCTTAGACAAGAAGCAGAATTTAATGGTATACCCAAAGACAGGCAATGTACAAATAAACAGTGCCTGGGATTGCTACTTCTGAATATTACCTACCTTTCATCCACGTACTGTGAAATATTACCAAGCTTGCTTCCAACAAGTCTTTGGAAGCTAAATTAACCCCTTACATAAGACTAAAACTATTCAGTGAATCAATTCTGTTTCAGTCTTCCAAAAAAAGGAAATAAACAAAAGAAACCCAAACAACCACCCATCCTCTCAAAATAAAATATTTACTGTAACTCATGAAATGGATTTTCACATGTCTCCAGGTTTCCTGACTTGGGGAGAAGGAAATAACGAGATATTACGGGAGAGGTTCATCTTGTAGTATTTCCAGACAGGCTAAAAGCAGGAAATCCTTGCAATCTTCTGAGAAAGCCTGATCTCCCAAGACTGCCAGATCAAAAGGAGCCAGAAATTCTCCAAGATCTGAGCCTTGTCTCTTTCAAATTCTGCAGAGGAAGGAGAAGGGCACAGAATTCTATCTGGGACTGTGCTCACCCTGGGCAAAAATAATTCTCAATATTGTGCAGTCCAGGAATGACATACGTTATTTTGATGTAGTCTCCATTTTCCCACTGCATTGGCCATATTGCACGATTGAAATGTAAATGGAGATATGCAAGTGTGTTTCCCAAAGCTAATGAAATTCCCATTCTATAAAAGATGCTCCTGGAAAAAAGTCTAAGCCATCCTCACCTGCCTCAAATCCTCTGGGATGCAAAATATATATATACAGATGTATAAATGAAATGTCTAAACAGCTCAATTTCGCTGAAAAGAAAAATATTTAGATTATCCAAGAAAAGTACTATACAACACTAACATTCCCCAAAATTGTCTGACAGAATTATAACTATCATCAGTTAGGTCAGGTTTCCACATGAAAATTAAGGTAGTAGAAGATTTTTGAAACACAAAAGAAAAAATAATTTATATTATAAATACTAAATACATGTAACATTGTGTTTTATTCTACATGGATGTTAAACTGACCTCCATGGTGTCAATCCCAAATTGCAAACTCTGGAAAGATGTTGCATATCATCCAAGATCTTGGACCACACAAGCAAAGGAGAGAAATACTGTCCTCAAAAAGCCCTTTGAGGTAGTATCTTCATTTGCACAAGAAGATGGAAATTGTTTTTCACAAAGTATAAGTCGGAAAAGAAAAGTTCTCATGTACATAAAAGCTCCAGAGCCCTTGGCTGTTTCCCTGCGCATTCTTGAGAAAATCTCCTACCCTGTTGTAGATAACCTATCTCTCCACAGAAACCTCTCCGTAACGCACCCCTGAACCCTCCTTTTCAAGGATTTCAGGTTCTTTTTCTCAAACATCAGAAGGCTCTTTATAAATCCCTATAGCCAATTGTGAACACACATTTCCCTTAGAAACAAAGAGCAAAACCCCACTAACTGGGCAAAAGAGATGTAACGGGGCCCAAGTTCCAGAACAAATCAGTGAGTCTTATTCTCAGAGGAAACCTTGAGAGAGAAGAATTTTGTGTATGCCTGTTGGCAAACAGCCTTTGGAGCGAGCCTTTTGTCGTACTCCATTGTACTCGATTCTTCTCTGCTTATCGTGTTTTATACCCGGTAAATCAGCTTGGGAAATGAATTCCATGTAACTACTTACCTTGAACGTAGACATAAATGACCGAGGCCATTTCAGTGTCCCGGTAGAAGCACTTGTAGGCTCCAGTATCATTTCCAATCACTTTTGGAATCATGAGCATCTTACAGAAGAGGCTGTCCCTGCACTCGGTCACCTCCACTCTTTTCTCAGAGCCACTCTGATTATTGGGCCAGAGCCAGTCCAAGTCCCTCTGTCCCCTGAAAAATCAATTCCAGGGAAGTGATCATGGGAAATGCGACACTATGAGGCTGTTTCTAAGAAAACAGAAGGTTTGTTTCTCAAACTTATATAAACTCAACAGACAGATTCACAGCCTTCTACCAACAATGACAGGCTGAATGGACAAATGACAAAAAGCCATAAACTCAGCTTCGGACACCACTTATAAGGATTCCTGAGTTTTCTATTAATTAACTCGTTCACTCAACAAATGTTTCTTAAGCAGGTGCTATATGCCAAGTGTTGTTAAAGTCTGGGGATACAGCAGTGAACAAATCAGACAAAAATCAATGCCTTTATGGAACTTCAGTCTAGTTAGAGGAAACGGGCAATGAAATAGTAAGTAAACCTCAATAAACCTGAATTTTTTTAAAAGTAAGTAAAATATATAGTGTAAGTAAAATGTAAGGTAGTGATAAGTACTGTGGAGAAAATATAGAATATACACAGAGTAAAGAGTTCTGGTGGGAGGGGCTTGATGAAGCCATATGAATATAAGGAGGAACAGTGTTCCAGGCAGAGGGAACAGAAAATGTAAAGGCCTTGGGGCAGGAGTATTTGGAGTATCAGGGGAATGGCAAGGAAGCCAGAGTAGTCAGGTAACAGTGGGCAGGCAGGACAATAAGAAGTGAGGTTCAGAAGGAAGAGGGCGCAACTGTCTAAGAGCCTCATAGGACCTTGTACAGACTGCATTCAAACAAAGATTACTTTCATTGCAGCCTTTCCCTGCAAAGCCCTAAGAAAGATAGTCCACATCAAAAAGCATGTAACATCACTGATTCTTCTTTCAAAGAATTTGAAATTTTCATGAAGTTGCAGCTACATTAGTGAAGTTACTTTAACATACTCCATGGCTTTTTCAGGACATAAGAAATTCTTTTGAATGAGTTTTAAAAGGGAGTATGGAATCTTTGAGGATTTTAAATAGCCTCTGTTATTGAGGATGAGTAAGAGGAAAATCCACTAAGAAATGTGTCTTCTGATAGCAAAGCTGGAGAAATAGCACGGTTACTATGTCTTCTCCCAAGGGCTGGATATTGGTTACCTACCCTTGATAAGGGGATGAGAGTATCCTTCACAGTCTGCAGTCTAAAATAGATCTGTGTTGTGATGAACATTGGTGTTCATCAGGTGCAAGCAATGGCAGTAAGCTGCCCAAGGTTCTCTGTGGACCCCTGGTTCTCTTCTCAGAGGGCAACATCACCTCCACCCATCTCTCCATATCTCTGCCAAAGACACACTGAGAGGTTCCTGAGAAGCCTCCAGGTCACTGCATTAAACCCTAAGGTCTTCTGCCTTTCCTTTTGTGGTCGGAGCTATGAGACAAAAACTAAATACATCTTCTTCCTTTCAGAGAACCCGGCTTCCCCAGTTAGCAAAAAACAGTAGCATGACTTCTTGCTAGCAAATGAGAAGAGAGGCATTCCAGAACATCAAGCCAAAGCATGAAGTCCATTACCTGTGCAGAACATGTACTCAGTAATATTAATGGCTGAATATTAAACTGCTACTACAGTCATAATTGTATCATGAAATAAAATTCCTGGCAAGGGCTAAACCAATGTCCACGAGCCATTCTGAATATGATAAATATGGCCCCAAACTCCTTCAACCCCATCCCTTAAGGGTAAGAGGGTAAGTCCTTAATTTCACTTATTTATTCAATATTTATTGAATGTCTACTATTTACTATGTGCCAGGTGCTGTACTGTGTGCATGTGTGCATGTGCATATGTGTGTGTGCATGTGTACGTGTGTGTGCGCATGTGTGCGCATGCATGTGTGTGTGCATGTGTACGTGTGCATGTGTACATGCGTGCGCGCGCATGCATACATGTGTGTGCATGTGCGTGTGTGCATGTGTGCATGCATGTGTGCATGTGTGTGTACGTGTGTGTGCATGTGTACTGCGTGTGTGCATATGCGTGTGTGCATGTGTACATGTGTGCGTGTGCATATGTGTGTGCATGTGTGCGCGTGTGTGCGCGTGTGTGCATGTACGTGTGTGTGCGTGTGCATATGCGTGTGTGCATGTGTGCGTGTGTGTGTGTTGGCAGAGAATAGCAGGAAAAAAATTCCAGAAAAATCATACAAAATTTTTGGGAGAAGAGCGTTCTAATTTTTCATTATTAGAAATGTCACTACTTACAATTACTACAACTCTATTACAATTCTGCTTATGTAAATTATTTTTCCCTCAATAACAATGAGTTACTTAACATAGGAAATCTGAATCTAAAATGAATCCTTACCTGCAAGTAATCTGAAGAGTTGTATTAGCCATAATTTTAAGTATGTCTTTTTGTATGCTGAGTCTGGGTGGATCAAGGGAAACACTAGGCAAACCTAGAAACAAATTAAATAAATGAATATAGTTGCCACTGAGTCAGACCCAATAGGAAACACCTTCCATAAACAATGCACACTCTATACTTTAAAAGGCCTCTTCAGCAATTCATTGTGTAAAACTGTGAATTTACTTTTCACCATTCCCAGTAAAAGTTCACAAACTGTGTCATAACAGGAAGAATGGGCAGATGGTCATAAACCAACACAAAAGTTCTGCAATTCATGGAGCTAGGGTGGAGTTCCTGTTTTCCTACATTGCCAACTTCAAGGTCTTACAAAAGGATATAGGACATTGAAACCAAATGAACCTTCATCTGATGATCTCACTCCCTTGGGAAAGGACCCACTGACATTTCTTATAAAGCATAGGATGTACACAGTTGACTAAATTGCTGATTAATGAATACTACTAAGAGAGATTTCTATACAGTTCATCTCTGTACCCTGAAGGGGAGAGGAGTGCCCATGACATTGTCTCATTTTCCTTTATCAATTTTCTAGTGCACTTCCTGTGGTAACTGAACTGCCAAAGTTGGAAGACTGTACATTAAATCTAGGTGAGAGGAATTGAGGGGAAAAAAAAAAAAACATTTGCCAGTGTCCATATAATACACCTATTAATACACTTTTTCTTAGAGAATGTAACTAAAAAAGTGTAGTGTTAATGAATTACAATTCGGGAAATCTCAACTTATTAATCAAAGCTCTGAGCTCATCCTGATACCAAGTTTACAATACAAGAAAGCTGTATTTACCTAAAAATATCACTGGACAGATTCCTCACCATGGATCACTCCACAGCAAGAAAACAGAGTTCTCTGTGAACTAAATGCAAAGAGCTAGTAAGTGATGGAAAACTATCAAAGAAAGAAAAACTGTCCACCATGCTAGGGCCTGAACTAATATCCAGATTCCAAAACATCACCTTAAAAAGTGATGGATGCTGGGTAATCACCCAAGCTTAATATGATCTTTAACTCACATCAACTAAGAACAAAAGACTCTCTACCCAAAGAAAATGAAAACACTAATTCAAAAAGATACATGCACCGCTGTGTTTATTGCAGCATTGTTTACATTAGCCAAGATATGGAAGTAACCCAGTGTCCATCAATAGATGAGTGGATAAAGAAGATGCAGATGCTATGGAGTATTACTCAGCCATAAAAAAGAAGGAAACCTTGCCATTTTGCAACTACATGGATGGAGCTAGAGAGTATTATTCTAAACAAAGTCAGAGAAAAACAAATACCAAAGATTTCACTCATTTGTGGAATTTAAGAAACAAAACAAATAAAAAAATAGACTCTTAAATATAGAGAACAAGCTGATGGTTACCAGGGGGAGGTGGGTGGGGGGATGGGTGATATAGGTGATGGGGATTAAGAGTACACTTATCATGATGAGCACTGAGTCGTGTACAGAACTGATGAATCACTATATTGTAGACCTGAAACTAATATAACACTGTATGTTAATTATACTAGACTTTTAAAGATAAGTAAAAAAATTTTTTTAAAAAGAACCACTGACTCTCAAGGCCTAAACTGGCACTAATCTTGTTGGGTAAATAAGACAGTATTAACAAATATGAAAAAGTATGAGTAAAGAGAGTGAGCAAATATCCAGTGCAAATATCCAGTACACTGAATCTGTGGACCTCAATGTGAACAGCTGCAGGCAAAAATGAACAGCTAATCACCCATATTTCTACACACTCACCCAGATGTGCAAAATAGGTTGTTGACACAACTGTAAATTTGTTGATCAATATAGTTTTTTAAAAAAATTTAGAACTTAAGTTACATCAGTAAATCTCAGAAATTAATTGGTATACTGATTTGTGTTTGGGCTAGTAATTCTTAAACTTTAAGATGTGTAAGCTATCCCTAGCCCTACAAATCTGCATTTTCACAAGCATTTCAGATGACTCGATCACACATGGCCTATGGGACACTCTTGGATAGCTATTGATCTGGCTTACCATGTTCGGTTAATTACCATAGCCCTTTTCAACACAGAAGGAAATAACTGCCCCCAAAGTAGACAAACAATGAAGCAAAGTTTTTAAAAACAATAGAAAATCCTTCCAACAATGGAGTCTCACTTTAAGAAAAGGAAAATGAAAACAACTCATTTGGATGAGTACAAGTATCAAACTTGGCTGGGAAACACTAGGTTGAGAAATATGTTGAAAACAGTAACTTAATACAATGTGTACAGTGATCCAAATGAGAAAGAACCCATTATCTGGGCACATTTATGTGAGAAAAAAAAAAAAAACGGTAGTAAAGGCAAAGCTCTAAATAAGCCATGTTCATTCTGCCACTGAACTAAGAGGTTCTTGAAGATCTCTCATAAATTATTGTCACAGATTATCTCACACTCTAGACACACTTTCTTATGTTAAAAAATTAATTAAAGATATGTTCTCCATTCATAGGAAGCTAAGACAATACCATACTATTCAACAAAAATCTTTTCAACAAGGCTATATCAATAATGATAACTTCAAATTCATATCTGTAGACCAACCAACATTCAATTTTGTTTTGCTCCATTAAGCTTCATTCATTTGCATTGGCAAGTTTAAGTTCTACTCTTCAGAAAATTCTAAAGAAATAACTATAAGAAGTACATATGCTGCTACTCAATAAAAAGCCCTTCTATGTTCAAATCCCCTAACCAAAATTAATTAATTTGTGCGCTATTACCCTTCCAGCTCAAAGACAGGAAGGAAAAACAACAGTGCCTCTGTCTCTAGAATTTGATGGCACCAATTACAGCCCAATCCAATTAAGCAAGTCACACACTCCAAAAGGGCAACCTCATCATTATATTCAGGACAACCCGATTACAGTTACTACTGCTGCGTGATGAAACACCCCAGGCTTAGAAGCAACTCACTTCTTTGTGGGATACAGAACAACCACATGTTCCAGATCATAAAGGGGGAAAGAGAGGTCTTGTCAGGGACAAATGAGTGTCCATGGTGGAGCTGGCCCTGATGAACCAAGTCATTATCAAGAAAATTTAATAACTATACCCAGATGATCTTGTTACTGTATACGAGTGTCTTTTTTTAAAGACATGTGATTCTTTTATTCCAATATAAGGAATTTTTCCCTGAATTATTTGACTTTTTTCCCCCTCCACCCTCTTCCCTTTCTCACCCTCCAAGGAGTGGAAATCTGGAAATCAGCAAACTGTAGCTACAGAAAAGAGATATGAGAAGGGGGTTGTGGGGGCGGGTAAAGCTTTCGAAGAAAGAAAGACATTTATTCCATCAAGCGCATGTGTGTTCCTAATCCTGAAAAGACTGAAATTTTAGGTGGCAAGGAAGTGCGGAGCGGCGCTAAATCTAGCTACCGAGTCCCGCAGAGTAAGTTTTCAGAACTTGAGCTTCTGACCATGCGCTTATCCCAAGGACCAAAGCTTTGAAAGATGTGATTGTTTTACATAAGAAGGTGACCGTTACTTGGAAACATTTTGGGAAGCTGTCACAACCCCGGCTCGGAGCTCAATTTCACCTTCTCTCTGCAAGGACAGCAGCATCCTGCACCAAGGAAGGAAAAAAAGTTTTCCTCCCTGAACTGCACCGCATACGGTGGATGTGTTTGTGGGTTCCAGCCAGAAGGGAACCGCACACCGGGGTCCGCCTGACTCCTGCAGAGGCAGAGCTGAGTGCACGATGCAGGCGATCGGAGCGAACTGGCTGGCTCTCCCTGCAAGGCTTCCTTCCCCGCGCCCGGGCTAAGGATTGTGCGCCCAGCCGGACAACGTTCCACAGCCTGTTCCCGCCTGCGGGGGCACCTCTTGCCTGCCAGCCCCGGCGCCTGCCTTCCCACCCCCGCCTCCCCGAGGGTGTGTCGGCTCCGCAGGACTCGCTCCAGCCGAGGCCCAGGTCGGAGACCAGAGTCGTGGAAAAGGAACTGGGCTCGGGAGACCACCAACTCTCTGGATAATCTTGGGCCAAAGAGCCTCGGTTTCCTCACTGGTAAATGAAAAAACACAAAGTGTCAAGTCACTTTTCATCTTTCCAGCTCTCTGACTCCGAGTTAGATCCGGCCTCCAGAACCGCCGCATCGCCCCATCTCTCCGCCCGCACCCGACCTCTCCGCCTTCCTTCTAGGGAGTGGGCTCCTTACCCACTGAGGCAGCCCTGGTCTCCACGCAGAGCCACAGAGCGATGGCCAGCAGCGCCTTGCTCTCCATCCCGCACCTCGCGCCGGGCGCGGTGCCCAGGACTTGGGCGCCGGTTCTTTCTCCCTGGGCCTGCCCCGCGAAGAAGGCGCGGAGGTGGAAGGAGCGCCGCAGCGCAGGACTGTGGGGCGCAAAGGGGAAGGTGCCCTGGCTCCGGCCACGGCTTGCAGGGGCGTCAGCGGGTGCCGGGAGGAGAGGAAATCCCCGCTGCGCGACAGCTCTGGGCTAGCCGTAGAGCGCAAGTGATGCTCCGCGCGGGCAGAAGAAACCCAACCAACCACCGCCAGCTCTCCCGGGGTCCCGGGACTCAGTGCGGGGTGGGAGCTGGAGGCCGAAACTCTAGAGCTTGGGGGCGGGGCTACGAGGGGCGGGGCCGGGGCGGGGTTCCCCTCTGCCGCCGGCCCCGCCTCTCAGCCGGTTACCAGGCCGGGACCCGCTGCTTCCCCAGCGCACTATATCTCCCGGTCTCCCCGCTTGCCTGGGGCCGCATCTGGCCCCGAGTCTCCGGAGGGGGAACGTCCCAGGCGCAACAACTCCATTTCTGGTAGAGATGAAATGTAGCCCGTAAGGGCTTCTGAGACACTCCAAGCTTCAGTAGGTTGGGGCCCTCCGAGATGCGGGTGGGGGCTGGGTGGTGCCGAAGGAGGGGACAGCGCGGCGAGCGCAGGCGAAGGACACTGAGCCTTCAGGAGGCGCGCCAAAATTTGCGACCGTCTTCGGCGTCCGCGCTTTCACGGTGGATCAGCCGCAGGTTGAAGCAACCAGAGAAAAGCGGATACTGAGCCCAGGCGAATGCAGGATCGCCAACCAGCAGTGACTCCAGCCAGTGTTTTGCTTGGCTAGCAAAACTGTAGTTTAAAAATCTGAATCTGAATGCCTTTAGTCAGAATATACACATGCTCAGTTCTCCAAAGTTCCCCCTATTTCCTCTTATATCTGGCAGCTTCAAATGTTTTTAGGTTACCAGCCTAGCCCCCAAAGGCTCTTAAATTTGAGACCCTTCACCGGGCTTTCACCAAAAACCTCCATCAGGACTCCAGGGAGCTGTAGGTACCCAGGGCTCTAGTGTACCCGCAGCGGTGAGAGTCACCTATCCCTGAGTGAGGCTCTCTCCTTGAGAAGGGGCTTTTGTCCACCGTGTTACCTGACAAGGAGCCCCTACCTGACTCTTCTTGGGCTTTTGACCAGGTCCCTTTTCAGAACAGAGCTCCCAGCCAAGATACCCTTAGGCTAGGAGGAGGCCGGCTTCGCTGGAGAAGCAACGAAGCGAATGCTCCCAGACCCCGGGCACCCAGAACACTCCTACCAAACCTCACAACTATCTCTGCATGTGTAGACTCCTCATGGAGCTGTTTGGAGAATTCAGATTCCTTTAGACATTTTTTTTTTCCTTCTTTTCTCTCCATTTCCCTCCACACCTAGATAGCGACACCAAAAGTCCCTTAATTTCTTGGGCGCCTGGGTGGCTCAGTTGGTTAAGCGACTGCCTTCGGCTCAGGTCATGATCCTGGAGTCCCTGGATCGAGTCCCGCATTGGGCTCCCTGCTCGGCAGGGAGTCTGCTTCTCCCTCTGGCCCTCCCCCCTCTCATGTGCTCTCTCTCATTCTCTCTCTCTCAAATAAATAAATAAAATCTTAAAAAAAAAAAAAAAGTCCCTTAATTTCTTTAAATAAGGATCTTGCAGATCTCTCTGTCTTAAAGGACCACCACCTTCAGGGAGATGAAGAAGTAGAATTATTATTTCTGCATCTAGGCCAAACCCCCCTTCCTGAAACACCCACTGTAAAGTGATGCTTTTCTTCTATGTTTAAAATGTTTGCTGTATTTACTCTTCTACTTTGCCAGGTTGACAACTGAAATACTTTAACTCTGAAAAACAATGAATATATGTGCTTAAAACTTTTTTATAATATGAAAAAGTTTTGAATGAAAAGCCCTTCTTCAGCAGAGGCAAGCATTTTCACCTTTCCTCTTTTTTTCCAAGCAAAATTTATGCACGTAGAGGTATAGGAGTATCAGCAAGGGTGGCCTGGGTATAAATACTGTGTGTTGGCTTTTTTCACTTTAAAATATAACTTGAGGGGCTCCTGGGTGGCTCAGTCGGTTAAGCGTCTGCCTTCGACTCAGGTCATGATCCCAGGGGGAGCCTGCTTCTCCCTCTCTCTCTGTCCCTCTCCCTGCTCTTTCTCTCTCTCTCTCAGATAAATAAAATCTTTTAGAAAATAAAATATAATATAACTTGAAGATCATTCTACATCAACCTATAAGGCTCCATCTCATTCTTCTAATAGTGGCATGATGTTCTACGGTAGAGATATGTACTGATATTTGACCTAGGAGATAATTATTTGTAAGAGGCACGGGTATCCTTAAAGAAACTCCTTTCTTCCTGCTAGTAAACTTAGCAAGTAAAACAGGACAGGCTCTGGCAAAGCTGGACACGGGGGAGGGGGATGGAACCTGGTTTGGAAAGGCCATTTTTCTCCATTTCCATCTCCAAACAGTTCTTTTCTCTCAGGCTTATTTACAATTCATGACACTTCCTCTTCCAGGTCTCACTTAGGAAGATAGTGTCTCCTCCGAATGCAAACCAGAACTTGCAGGCCCGTGGTAATAGCCCCCTTTAGAAGTCTTGGAGGAAATGATGCGTCTTTGATGGCCACAAGACCAGAATTTGGCAGGGGCTCAATGAAATCAGTCTACCACATTCCCTCCCACACAGTACTTAGAAGTAGCCTTATGTTCATGAAAAACGACAAAGCCTGTTTTTTGAAAAACGTCTGGTCTAGGGGCGACGCCCCCCCATTATCTGGCACCGTTGGAGTGATTTTGTGAGTTAATCCTGCAGTACGGGTACAACCACGACCTACCAAAGTTCTCAAGTGTGTTTAGTGCTCCAGAGATGGGATTCAGACACATTTGGGGTGAAGCAGCAAAGAGTGTCGCTAAGTGCACAGACTCTGGGGCCGCACTAACTGGGCTCAACCCCCGGATCTACCCCTCACTATTCATGTGATCTTGACTCACTTACTGGTTGCATACCTATAAGACACAAAAGGTGACAATAGTACCTTCTTCCTAGGGTGTTTTTGCAAGAATTAAATGAGTTACTGCATGTAAGGCATTTAGAACAGGACCCAACAGCTGGTGAGCACGGGCAGCTAGCACGTAGTAAGCCCCTGATACATTGGGAAGCATTCTGCGAGGGTTAGTCACGCCACAGTGTGTGGCCGCCTTTGTACTACAGAGATCTACACTGCAAATAGGGCTCCTTCAGTTTTTGAGCACCTACTGTGTGCTCGGCACAATGATAGAGACTACAGTTACAATGGTGAAAATAAAGGCAGTATGAGCATAAATGAGCAGTCATCATGTAGCTCCATCTAGGGCAACTTTAACCAATCGCAGACTGCTCTGTATTCCAGCTACTTCTTTGGCTCTTGTGCACACAGAATATACATTGTTCATATCACCAAAGCACACTACATAAATTATACTCCGTGATGCCAAATTTGGCTCCATCACCACAAGCATGTTGGACTTCGTATGTTAAAAAGTAAAAATGAAGACTAGCAAAAATTTAATAATTGTGGAAGTTGGTTGCTGAGTATATATGGGTTCATTTTACTATTCTTTACTTTTACATGTTTAAAATTTTCCACGCTAAAAAATTTTAAGTAACTATAACCAAAGTGATGCCTGATCTAGATACCATCACTAACTTTTCCACTGTCAGTATCTTGACATTACCTCTGGGAAACGGTTGAAGCAAAGAGGCAGATGGATGAGAATTTGCACGTTTTATTTCATATATTTCTATAAGAGTTAATCAAAAGAAGAAAGTGTTGCTTTTACAAATAAAAAATATAAAGATCAACTCTTCTAGTGGCTGTTATATTTTCAAATACTGCCATTTGTTGATTACATATTTGCATATTTTCTCATGTTTATTCCTTTTGTTTCCAGTATTTGTTTATGCTGTAACTTACAAGAGCCTGTGACTTGCCAGATGTTGACTTGATTTCATAGCACATCTGTACTCACGACTATCATGCCATGGGAAATTATGAGCATACCCTTCATCTCTCATTCACCTTCCTTCCACACCCACATTTATTTCACTGTCTGTGTGATTTATTTTTTCAACTTAAACTCAAAATATATTTGTATATTCAAGGGAAAAAAAGGCTAGGTCACCACAAAGCCAGGCTTGACTTGCATGTTTCTATTAGTGGTTGGTTTTATTCATAAAATCTTACATTCTAATAAATACAAAAAAACTCCTCATCCTTTTTGTGAAACAGATGAAACAGAATTTCATCACTTGTCACCCACAAAGGAAAAATCCCAGTTACTTTAAATAGGTATGTCTATGTGCCCTCCCTAAACTATCCCATATAGTTTCTTGTTATAGCTCACATAGGATAAATACAACAATTTTTAAATGTGGAAAGCAAGCAGGGAATTTAAATAATCAACTGAAAATTCACACAGCACCAGAAAAGGATGTTAGAAAATAATAAAAGTAGCCAACACTCATCGAGCACATCCTTTGGGCAGACACTGTTCTGAATACTTCACTTCATCCCTTGCTTTATCCTTACAACTTCCCATGAGGGCAGTGAGCACTATTAGCAATTCTTAGTAAAGAAGAGAAGTAAAGACAAGAAATTATTTTTAACTTTCGTAGTATTCCTTTGCCTTCCTAAAAGTCTTACCAAAAAAGTTGCTTTATCTGTTTGCAAACAATTGATACATAGTTTTCTCACCGTTAGTTAATGACATAATAGAAGTCAAGACACTCTTTATTTTTTAAAGACGGAGGAGGAGAGTTGGGGAGCACTTATTATATGCCAGGTAGTTTCCTTGGATTATCTTATTTTAATGTTCAGAATAACCCAATGTAGAAGATACTCATAGTGGCTT